TCTCCGTCTCTTCACACATAAATACAAACGTACATCCTTTTACACATTTGTACGACGGAGTTTAAGGGTCAGATTAAAAAATTAAATAAAATAAAAAAAATGCTGGCGCTACGAGAAAAAAGTCGTAACATTTTGACATTAAAGTCCTAATATTATGAGAATAAAGTCGTACTCAAAAAAGTCGTAATTTTAGGAGAATAAAGTCATAATTTTAGTAGAATAAAGTTGTAATTTTATGAGAAAAAACTCATAAATTTAGGAGAATAAAGTCGTAATTTTAGGAGAATAAAGTCGTAATTTTAGGAGAATAAAGTCATAAATTTAGGAGAATAAAGTCGTAATTTTAGGAGAATAAAGTCATAATTTTAGGAGAATAAAGTAGTAATTTTATGAGAATAAAGTCGTAGTCAAAATAAAGTCATAAATTTAGGAGAATAAAGTCATAAATTTATGAGAATAAAGTCGTAGTCAAAATAAAGTCATAATATTAGGAGAAAATCGGCTGCTCAGAAACTCTGACCGAGTGGAGAATGGAGAATTTGGAGCATTTTGTAAAGGAGAAAAATCCGTGTATCTTTCGTTCATTCGACTGAACAAGGACTGAATCAGGACTAAATCAAGTCTGGAACCAAACCAGAAAGACCAGGATTGAGACCGGGACCAGACCAGGACTGAAAACGGTTTAGTCCTAGTTTAGTCCTGGTTTAGTCCTGGTTTAAGTCACGGAAATGGGAAATGGCGTTTACGTGACTTTAAAATGCGACTGAACCAGGACTAAACCAGGACTAAACCAAGGACTGAACCAGGACTGAACCAAGACTGAACCAGGACTAAACCAGGACTGAACCAGGACTGAACCAGGACTGAACCAGGACTAAACCAGGACTGAACCAGGACTAAACCAGGACTAAACCAGGACTGAATCAGGACTGAACCAGGACTAAACCGTTTTCAGTCCTGGTCCTGTTCCCGGTCTCAATCCTGGTCTCAGTTGTTGTCTGATCCCGGTCTCAGTCTTGGTCCCGGACTCAGTCCTTGTCTAAGTCCTGGTCTCAGTCCCGGTCTGGTCTCGGACTTCGTTTAGTCCTGGTTTAGTCCTGGTTTAGTCCTGGTTTAGTCCTGGTTTAGTCCTGGTTTAGTCCTAGTTTAATCCTGGTTTAGTCCTGGTTTAGTCCTGGTTCAGTCCTGGTTCAGTCCCGGTCTGGTCTCGGACTTCGTTTAGTCCTGGTTTAGTCCTAGTTTAATCCTGGTTTAGTCCTGGTTTAGTCCTTTAGTCCTGGTTTAGTCCTGGTCCTGGTTTAGTCCTGGTTTAGTCCTGGTTCAGTCCGGAGGCGCAAATAATGAAGAAAATTGTTGTTCGTTTTCTTATTTTTAGTTTTTATATTGAAAAACAAGTTTCTTCTTCTGCCGCATTTTTCACTTTGACTTTGATTTTATGATAACTTTATTCTCCTAAAATTACGACTTTATTCTTGTTAAATTATGACTTTTTCTGGCTTCGACTTTATTCTCACAATATTACGACTTTAATGTTGAAATGTTACGACTTTATTCTCGTAGCGCCAGCATCTTTTTTTTTTTTCTGTCTGACCCTTATTCTCCGTCGTACATTTGTGTTTACTTCAGATGCTTAAAACATCAGATTTGAGGTCCGTAAAACATAAAAACATAAAAATACTCACAGTGAAATGTCGTCCGTGCTCAGCCGCTCGGAGTCTGTGCGGTTTGGGTTTGGACGAGGCTGCAGAGAGAAACGACGACTCAAACGAGATAAAAGCCGGTCTGGTCACAGGGCCCTGTTAAAAGCTTTAGTTTAAATTGCAAATGTGGTTTTTTTTTTGTGTGTTTTTTTTTTCCACAGATACAACAGATTGAAACAGAGGGAAGCGAAGGAGGAGAGGAGCGCGGGGTCTGAAGAGGAGAGCACAAAGAGAGGCGCTGCATACATTATGATTCAGGTAAACACGCGGGAAATGAAACAACGAAATAAAGACGTGAAGTACGACGGAGAATAAGGGTCAAAAAAAAAAAAAAAAAAAAAACATGCTGGCGCTACGAGAATAAAGTCGTAACATTTCGACGTTAAAGTCATAATTTTACAGGAATAAAGTCGTAATATAACGAGAATAAAGTCGAAGTTAAAATAAAGTCGTAATATTATGAGAATAAAGTTATAATGTTACGAGAATGAAGTCGTAATAAACTCAAAGTCAAAGTGAAAAATGCGGCAGAAGAAGAACCTGGTTTTTCAATATAAAAACAAAAATAAGAAACAAACAACAATTTTCTTCATTATTTGCGCCTCCGAACTGAACCAGGACTAAACCAGGACTAAACCAGGACTAAACGAGGTCTGAGACCAGACCGGGACTGAGACCAGGACTTAAACAAGGACTGAGTCTGGGACCAAGACTGAGACCGGGATCAGACAACAACTGAGACCAGGATTGAGACCGGGAACAGGACCAGGACTGAAAACGGTTTAGTCCTCGTTTAGTCCAGTCCTGGTTTAGTCCTGGTTCAGTCGCATTTTAAAGTCACGGAAACGCCATTTCCCATTTCCGTGACTTAAACCAGGACTAAACGAGGACTAAACCGTTTTCAGTCCTGGTCTGGCCTCAGCCTCAGTCCTGGTCTGGTCCCGGTCTCAATCCTGGTCTTTCTGGTTTGGTTCCAGACCTGATTTAGTCCTGATTCACTCCTTGTTCAGTCGAATGAACGAAAGATACACGGATTTTTCTCCTTTACAAAATGCTCCAAATTCTCCATTCTCCACTCGGTCAGAGTTTCCGAGCAGCCGATTTTCTCCTAATATTATGACTTTAATGTCAAAATGTTACGACTTTATTCTCGTAGCACCAACATGTTTTTTTTTTTTTTTTATCTGACCCTTATGCTCCGTCGTAGTGAAGAAGTGTGATCGACGGAAGAAATAAAAACATATCCAAACTAACGGAAAAGTCAAGTTAATCAAATATGTTGAGGCCGAGTCACCATGGGACCATTTATGCAGTTGGGTGTTAATACGAATGCATGTCCTACTTTAACCAGCTGGTGGCGCTATAGCTCTGGAGGTAGAGACTGTGGGTTTTTTCGGAAGGTTCAATGCGTGTCCTAAAAAGAAGCACGAGAGATGGAGAATCCGAGAGAACAGGCCACTTTATTTCGTCATTTTCCATTGAGAGGGATTCAAGTTGATTACCAAGTACAACTGTCACCCCGGAACGACGTCTCTGACCAACTCAAGATCAGGAGTAGCTTTATACTACATCTTGACAAAACATTAACTTGTTGATTTAGCATATACAGCAAGAAAATGAACAATACTGCTGACCCAGTGCACCTTATCATGGGTGGGAACATGCCACGGGGACCACATATGTCAGTTTTTCTGCTTCGTGGCATCTCAAAGTCCAGAAAAACATGTTCTTTATGACACTCCAGTACAGAAAAACATGTTATATAGACCTATAGATAGTCATACGTGTTTTCCACCCTGTTGTCATTCCAAAGTCCATAATATTAGGTGAATTTAGCATGATCAGCACATAATTTCCCACAGTATTCCCCCTTTTGATTACATCAAACATGTAATCACCACCTAAAATAAGAGAAGCAAGACGCTACCTCCACATAATAAATTCCCATATATGAACAAAATAAAATAAAAAAAAAATTTGTTAGCTTTAGCTCTTTTATAACATTTCCCAGATTCTTGTCAACACAATATACTTGAATAACATAGTACATAATCAATACATGACACTCGGACAGCGAAAATAAGAGACCAGGAGCACATACTCAGGAAGGTTTTATCTCTACTTAATCAATGGATAAATTTGTAGGGTTTCAATCAAACCCAATTATTGGAGTCAGAACGTGAGAGCTGAGAATCAGCAGAGAGTAACAAAATTTGGGAGACGGGAGCATTTCGTGTTAAGGCAGTAGTAATCAATCGTTCTACTAGTGATCTGAGACATGGAATAATGCAACATCCAATTACAACTAAAACAGCTAATATAATCAGTATAGTGGTACATATGGATATTATAGTAGCCGTCCAAGGGCCAAATATTTTGTAGAGCCAGTTAAAGCAAGTATCTTCAGATACGCCAGAATTCCTACCCAGTTCCTCAGACAAGGATTTGAGTTTGGACAAAGCTTTAATAATCTTTCCATCAGGGGATGTGTTGTTTGGTATATAAGTACAGCATTCAGTTCCAAACATGCTGCATACAGATGATTCTTTGGCAAGTAGCATCTCAAGGGCAATTCGATTTTGCCAAGCCATAAGAATCTGCTTGAAAAGCTGCATCATCTTTTCTATTTTTTATTAGAGTAATTCTTTGTGGGTCAATTTTGAAAGTATTTTCTGCTGGTTTTTGCTGTCCATCGGTACTGGCTATAACTCTGGCGATCTCTGTTGCATAATTGTTTTCTTTTGACAGGCAAGTGTCTTTACAGACAACTTGTACATTTAATGCATGGTCTATAGCTGGTAAACCGAGCATGCAATCTAATACTTCACATACATCAAATACTATATTACAAGTTTGTCCTTCGTAGCAAAGTTTTACTATTTTTGGTGCTCCCCTTTTTACCCTTTTCTGTGCTCCTTGTGTCTTACTGTTTTTGTCGTCTGCCAACTCCATGTCGTGGCTTGTCATTTTGCTTGTTGGCTGTCCGAGGTCAGTAGTGGTTTCAAAGCTTCTATTGATAGGGACTATAACAAAACAAATAAAGCAAAAAGAAATTAGCATAATCAAAGATAGACATTGAAAATTTCTCATAAAGCATGGCCTGTACTCTCCTTTTAAGTCCTTTCAATTCAGTCTGTTCAGCTGGTTCAGTCCTGGTTCAGTCCTGGTTTTAGTCCTGGTTTAGTCCTGGTTTCAGTCCTGGTGGTTAGTCCTGGTTTAGTCCTGGTTTAGTCCTGGTTAGTCCTGGTTTAGTTTCAGTCCTGGTTTAGTCCTGTTTAGTCCTGGTTCAGTCCTGGTTTA